TTTTTTTTTTTTTTTTTTTTCTTAATCCAGCCTGGAAGTTCTTCTAGAACTTCCCCTTTTTGCTTGGCTGTGAAAACCCATTTGCCCCATGGAGGCCATTATTCCAGCCTGCTAAAAGCAGCAACCCCTCTCCCTGGGGAGCACTCAGTCCAGTTGCAAAGCAGGGCCAGGCTAGTTGATTGTCTGGGAAATCTTTAAAGGCTGTAACCATTCAGCAGGGGTCAGTCGCCCCTCTCCATATTGTGTCATCTCACCAGGTGTATTCATCCCACCCATCCATCCCCACACCCACGCACCCGCCCATCCATCTGTTCATTCATCCTGCCCATCCATCCATCTGTTCATTCTTTTATCCCACCCATTCATTCATTCACCCTCTATGTGTCAAGCACTCTGTTTGGTGTACAGAAACTGCGAGAAGAAAAACATAGTCCTTGCCCTCGAGGAACTCCCAGACAAATTGAGGAAACAGTCTGGGTGACAGGTGGTGTGACTGAGGTGTGCCCAGGATGCTGTGGGAACACAGAAAGAGGGCACCTGACGGGTGCTGGGGTGGGAGTGGAGAAGAAGAGACCAGGAAATGATTCCCTAAGGAAATTGTTGCTAAGCTTAGTCTGGTCAAGCAGGAGTCTCTTTGCGAGGATGATGGGAATGCAGACCCATCGGTGTGTATAGTTATCTTAAAGACACGGGCCTGCAGACCCATCACATTTGGGGGATAAGCAAGTTCATAGCTTGGCTGGAGCTTAGGGCCAGGAGTTGGAGACCAGTGAGAGGTGAGCCTGGAGGTTGCAGAAACAAGCCGCAGTAAAGTGTTTGGATAACCAGGAGCCGTCAGGGGACCGTGAAGCCGGAAGTGTCACAACACATGTGCGTGGCTCTAATGGGGGTGTTATGGGAGGTAGTGGATTGGGGAGGGGTCACAGTCTGGAGGCATGGAGACCAGCTAGTCTGATAGGAGTCGTGAAACAATTGGGAAGCCTCCAGTGAAGTGAGGCGTTTGCAGGGAGTTGGAAAGGGAGGGACCAATAATGAGATTAAGGAAGAAAGAGCTACAGGTCCCAGGGCCTTAGTGAGTGTAGGCAGTGAGAGTGAGGTTCAAGATGGACTTCCAGGCTTGGGTGCCTGGGGCCCTGGTGGTGACACTCCATCAAACGTGGGACATGGAGTAGAAGTCGTGGTGGGGTCAGAGGAGAGCAGTTAATCAATCTGGGTGGCACTAGGAAGAGATGTGGCACGGCCAGTTGGAAATGGGCAACACGGAGATGAAGGCGTCCATTTGGGAGTCCTAGGGGTGGCTGTCAAAGCCCTGAGTGGCAGCGCTGCAGGAAAGGTGTAAGAGCTGAGGCTGACCCTCCAGCATTTAGGGAAGAACCAAGGAACACCCAGGGGGTAGGAGGAAAACTGAGGGGAGGCGAGTGTCTTGAGAGGGAGGCGGAAAAGGCGACAGTGGCAGAGACTGCAGAGGTTCAGTCAGGACACAGAAGGTCTGTTAGACCTCACGACTGGGAGGCAAGGGAGGGGGTGCCAGGAAGGTCAGGTGTGCGGGGCAGAGAGGGTGGAGGGCAGGGCGCAGGAGAGGAGGAGTGGATGGACCCTGCAGGTGGAGTGGAGTGTAGACAGGGAGTCCACAGCGATTGCTCCTCAGTCACCGCTGACTCATGAGGCAGTGATAGGCTCCTAAGTGCCTGGCTGATGTCTCACTAAATCCTCACCTCAGCATCATTGTCCCTCATTGTATAGAAATGAAAACTTGCCCACGGTCTAGAAGAGAGGCTTTCTCCACGTTCTCCATTCTTGTGGGAAGAACTCCAGGTAGAGTAAAACTGCTGACAAGGGGCTGGCTCTGAGGAAGCCCGGCAGTCCCTACTTTCGTAGAGCTCTTAGGAGCAGACACCAGTGCCCCTCGGAGCCAGGACCCTTCCTTCCTCTGAGCATGGGTTCTGGGTGATGGCCAACAGTGGTGGGAGAGCTCTTAGCGACGCTGTTGGGATTGAGGTAACTAGGATTATCTTAGTTTTCAGAGTAACTAGGAGGCTTGAAGAACCTACTGCAGAAGAAAAGCCCAGAAATACTCAGAGTGTAGATGGTCAGAGGTGAGGGAAACTGAGGTAGTCGCCCAAAGGTGGTGTGTTGGAGCTGGCCTCTCTCCCCACTGACCACCCCCCTGAGGGCCTGGGCTGTTAGCACTTTACCAGCCAGCTCCTCCTCTCGTCCTGCAATTTCCCAAGACGTTTCTGGTGTCCTTTGGGAGTGGAGTCATGTGAGTCTTGAAAGAAACTGGTAAAAAATAGACTCTGACCTGAAGGCAAGGGGAGGCCCTGTGCTTCTGGGGTTCTAGGCTGGGCTGTGTGGGAGGAGCATGGGAAGAGCCCGCCTCCTGCTCTCTGGTGGCTGCTGATGGCTCCACCTGGCCACAGGAGAGGCCTGAAGTATGCCTGATGCTTCTAGAGCATACCAGTAATTCTTCCCTGGCTGTGCTTGGAGCGGACCTACAAATGAACTCCTGAAAACTTGTTCTACCCCTACCCCTTTACTCTGGAAACAGTTTTTATTTATTTATTTATTTATTTATTTATTTATTTATTTATTTATAACATTTATTTATTTTTGAGAGAGAGAGAGCGTGAGTGGGGTCAGGGCAGAGAGAGACACACACACACACACACAGAATCCGAAGCAGGCTCCAGGCTCTGAGCTGCCAGCACAGAGCCCGACTCAGGGCTCAAACTCAAGAAACGTGAGATCATGACCTGAGCTGAAGTCGGACGCTCAATCGACTGAGCCACCCAGGTGCCCCACTCTGGAAACAATTTTTGATGTTGAAAGGAAAGCTGGGAGAAAGGGAGCGTGAGAAAAACAAATACGAAAAAACAATAGATGTTATGTTTGGTCTCAGTCAACTGTAGGATTTTGTGAAACTTTTGCCAGAATTTCCCTGTGTAATCTTTTCAGAAGTGACAAAAGAAAAAGGAGGTTATCTTGTTCCCAACAGGTTATCGGAATAATGAGTGAAGTGGCTGTGGAGGCTTAGTCTTGCCTCAGCAGCTCCTGGCCTGTTGGCCGGTGGCTGAAGTGTAGCCTGGGAAGAGGCCGTTCTGCTCTCATGGCTCAGTTAGAGTAAAGCACTTCACTCGGGCGCCATAAAGAGGAAGTTGGCTGGAGCAGGCCCAGCAGCAGGGCCCTAAGAGTCCTGGGTCCAGACAGTCCATTTCTCTGAGTGCTCTTAACTCGGCATACATTCCACCCTTGGGCTTATAGCCTAGCGAGGTAAAGAGAAGAATCTCATTAAGATGTAGGTCATTAAAATGTAGCGTATTAAGGGAAATGGGGTATCCCGTTGGGGAGCTAAGCCAGGCAGGATTTCTGGGGACGGCTGAAGACACCACCTGAATTCAACGCTGGGATTCCTGTTCCGTGTAACTGTTAGTGCTCGGGCCCAGGCCCAAAGTGCCAGGTGACCATCACGTCCTTTCTGCACATCCCCTCCCAGCCTTATATCTTCTCTCTGGTTTTTCTCCCACGAACAGTTTGACTTTGGGGACACCATGGTCCACCAGGCCATCCACACCATCGAGTACTGCCTGGGCTGCATCTCCAACACCGCCTCTTACCTGCGGCTCTGGGCCCTCAGCCTCGCTCATGCACGTGAGTGTGTTTCTCCCAGATTGAAAATTAGGTTTTCCCCTTCTCTGGGCACTCTCTCGGATGCGGAGCTTAAATAGAGTGGAAATAACATAAAGGCGCTGGAATTATTCAGACTCCTGAGTCCCAGGAGAAAGATGTCCAGATGGGAGGACCAGCACTTTTGCCAGACTTAGCTATGCACGGTGGTCCTGCCCAGATTGCAGTGCCCACGATGCCGCAGACACTTCAGGAGAGGGATGACGGAGCAGAATGCAAGGCCCGCAGCACCTCTTGCCAAACTGAACCGGATGTCCTGTCTCTCCCCATTCCCCAGAGCTGTCTGAGGTGCTTTGGACCATGGTGATCCACATCGGCCTCAGCGTGAAGAGCTTGGCAGGAGGTTTGGCGCTGTTCTTCATTTTCGCCGCCTTTGCCACCCTGACCGTGGCCATCCTCCTGATCATGGAGGGCCTCTCGGCCTTCCTCCACGCGCTGCGGTTACACTGGTGAGGAACAGCGAGTTCGGGGGCTGCGGACGTGTCCTTGGCTGCACTGAGGGTGGCTTTACTCTTGTACAGAATCCAGAGACGCTAGGAAGTGTCTGCTTTCATTCACATCATTCTGCCCGATGACCTATGTCAGGAGTGAGCATCAGGAAGTGTCCCCACAAAAGCACAGCTCACCTTTCAGAGCCCCCCAAGGGACAATTCTCTGGTAGATGTTGTCAGATTCCTTCTCCCTTTAGCATTCTTCACTGCTCTTGAGTATGGCCTAAAAGACTGAGGTTGTTGGTTGGTTTGGTTGTGTGTTGTTTTTTTTTTCCCCTTTGGCATAAACTTTCTCCTGTCTTCAGAGCGATGCAAGCAACTCTGGAGTAGATTCGCAGTCCAGGAAAGTGCTAGAGCACACTGTACCCCAGTTTTGTCCCCCTCGTTCTGTCATTGTGCCAGTGTCTTTGGGGCAGACCCCTAGCAGTTGACATAGGTAGGGGGATTCCTGGTTCCATAATGTGGAGCTCAGTTCACTGAAACAGCACCTTCACAAGGGCAGGTTTGGGATTTGTTTGTTTTCTTTAATGTAGTTTGTGGCTCTTAATGGCTCTGCACAGAGAGAGCCAGCTCAGCCCCAGGGAGTAGGAGAGCTGGCGTCTGGTCCAGGCAGTGACCCTGTGACCTCAAGTTAGCGTTGCCAGATTTAGTGAATAAAATTCCGGGACACCCAGTTAAATTTGAATTTCAGATACACAATGAATTTGCATTGGGACATGGATATGGGACATATTCGTGCTAAAAACTAGGCATCCGGTACTTTATCTGGCTTCCCTACCTTAAGCTCTGGAAGCTCTGGACCCTCTCCCTAGAAAAACATCCCCCACAGCAGTTTTACCCATTTAGGGGGTCACAAACTCACTGGCCCTACGTTAGGACCCATAGACAAGACGATCTGTGTGGTGCTAGTGATCTCAAGCTCAGACAGGGCGTGGAAGTTTTCGTGACATCAGTTTTCTAAACCTGAACCCAAGGATCGTCTTCCCCAACCCCCTTTTCTTTGACTTTTCTCCTGACTTGGTTATGCTGAGCCCCCTAAAAAATTCCTGTTTGCTGTTGTAAATGACAGAGGGTACTGGGAGGCATGTAAGGACAGGCCGTAGCTGGGACTTACCCTTCCCTCAAAAGCTCCTTTTAAAGAACCCGTCCTGCTACGTCGGTCAATATTCTTTCTCTGTCTGGCTTTCCTCCTCCTTGCCGCCCTCCTCCCCACCCAGCTGTTGTTTATTTACTGTCCAACCAGGAGGTTAGGAGCGCTGTGTGGCTCAGGCTGCTGGCACGCTACCCTGTTCTCAGCTTATCAGCGTTCTCTCCCCAGCACACTTCCTCAGCTGCTCGGTATGAGGGAATGTCTGTGTAACCAGCCTGTGGTGACTCACTGTTTCTTCCTTCCTTTCCCGGTCACTTCTCTGTCTCCTGAGCCCTGGGCTTGAGGGGCCAGTCACTACCCCACCTGAATTCCAGCCCAAGTGGGGAGCCTGTTGCCTCCCCCCTGGGCGGGCTGGGGAGCAGTCAAGGTGCTGGGTCAGAACCGTCTAAGCAGCGAGCTGAGCATACCCCAGGGTGAGGAAGGTCACCTGGGCTTGGGGCTACTTTCCAGAGTGAGCTGAGGCAGCTTGGGAGGTCGTGTTTTGTTGCCAGAAGGATTATTTCTTCCTCGGGCTCACCTGTGGCCTTCAGGTGAAGGTGTCTTCTCATGTCCTCACCAGTGAGCCCAAAGACCTGATGAGTGACAAGAGAGCAGACTTCATTCAGAATTAGGCGCCACTGGGTTTGAATTCCAGCTCTGCTGGATCTTGCTGGGTGACCCTGAGGAGAGCACTTACCTCCCTGAACCTCAGTTTCTCTCATATGCAGAGAGGGGGGTATCCATGTAACATGGTTGCCATGATAATTATGAAATCAATGCATATACCAAGCGACTGTCACCGTGCCCAGACACATCGTAAACTGGTGTTCAAGTGCGGGTCACAGCCACCCTGCTTAAAAGTGGGGTGCCCTGTGGGGAGGGCATCTTGGCTGTGGTCCCTTCTAAAGAAACTGCATTAAGTCTGTTGAGAGGGAGGGGACACCCCAGGGGGAGGCACATCTGAATGCCTGTAGTTTTCAAGAACAGGCTCATCAACAAACTTGTAGGTTTGTTGTTTGGGTAGTGGAAGGATCGCATAGAGGAGGAAAAAAACCAAACAGCAAAACTCCTTTATAGAGCTTTCAGAATCCCATCGTTGGAGGCTTGTTTGGAGAATCGCCCTTAGTGAAAGGAGGTGAGTGACCCGGGTGCTCATGCTCCCCCTTCTGGCCGAATGAGGATGTGCTGCAAGGATTCCCAGGTCTTCTAGTCCACCAGGACTGCAGGAATTCTGAGTTGTGGCCATCTTGTGAGAGGGGACAGCTGGTCCTGCTGCAAGTGGCTGCAGGGACATTGCTGCTCTTTTTCCTGGTGTCTGGCCTGGGCATCTTCCAGCCTGTCACTTTACTCCTGGTTGTCAGCTGGGGTTTCCTGATTCTGATGTAAGGGCTACCCATTTTACAGGTTTGGATGTCTTCAGTGAGGACAAGAAAAACAACATCTGCTTTGGTAACAAACAGAATCTCACTAGTGAGATTCATGTAGGGTCCTTAGGTGGTGGGTGATATATTTGAAAACATTAGTGAACAGGTTACTTTACCAACCGAATTCTGTTGCCTTCTGTGTTACACGTCTATTTTTGCCTACTATAATTAGCTGTCTTTTCTTTCTCAGAAAAGGCAAAGGTAGGGAATATGATTTGTAGTTGCAACTGTGGACACCAAACTGACTTTAGTAGAAAGACTGTTGCTCCGTGGCCTACCTTCAGGAACCTAATCCCTTCTTATCTAGCAAACTCCACATATGTATAGATGTGCACACTTGCACACTCACAGATTGGTTGAAGGCCAAAGGAAAATGGGGACCAAATTGCTGTAAGGAATGTAGTGGGGCCACAGCAGGACACCATGGGATGGTTGCAGGAATGGCTGGCCCAGGAGAAGTAGGAACGCCTGAAGTAGAGTTCCTGGCTGCCATTATTGCCTTGACATTTGGGCCATCAGATAGATATGTGTGCCAGGCCCCGGACTACTCACAGAGTGGCAGAAAGGGCCAGTGAAGCGGCTCAGCCCAGAATCCTCATTCTAAAACTGCTTCCTTTCAGCCACAACCCTGCCAGGAAAGGGAGGAGGCCCAGGACTCCTTTCTCCTTCCCTCACTCAAGGAAACAAGGTTTCCTGTTACATAGCAGGAATGAATGCTCTGTGGACTCCCACTTACCCTTCTGGGTCACTGGGTGGCCTTTGCCAGGTCCTGGAGCTGGAAGGGGTGACACAGAAACCCTTCCGACTTCCTGAGGCCCTCCTCCCAACTGTGGAATTCTAGAGGTACGTTTCAGTGACTTGGGGCCCTGGAGGCTCCCTGAGTAGTATAACAGGCCCTTAAAATAGGAGGGACCTGCAGGACAGCCAGCAGGGCCCTGTGGGCCCCAGCGCAAAGAACTTTGTGTTTGTACTTTCTCAGGAAGCACACATTTCCCTGGTTGGGAGGGAGAAGAGGGCGGGGAGCCCGACAGGGAGATTGCTTTCCAACTTTGTTCTGGGAGGATGGGGTGAGCGAGGCTGAGCAGGGAGGTGACGTCAAGCTGACCCCGAGATGCCCAAGATGGCCCTGGACACGTGCCCCCCTTCCTACCCACTGGGCCCCATGGATAGATGAGGCGCACAGAGGAATGGCAAGAGAAGGATGGTGATCCCATGGGCATCTGAAAATTTTTGACGCTTCTACTTCATTCGGCCAGTTTGGAATTTGAATTGTTTGTGTGATTAGCCAGCCAGGGGATCTCCTCATAGACCCTAAGGTGACTTACCCACCATCTGGCTACATATTGTTGAATGCAAATGGGATGTGAGGCTGTTTTTAGCTGTTCAGAAATGCCCTTCCCATATGCAAACAGCCTACCCAGCACGAAGCATTTGAAGCATTCGGGCCCAGCAGCAGCGGGTGAGAAGTGGGAACCGACCTAATTCCCACAACAGAGGCCTGAGTAGCTGTAGCTTGTAGGACTTCTCTGGGTGTTAGGATATGGGGACGAGTCCAGATCCTGGTTTGGAATCGCTCTTGCCGGGAATCCTGGGACTGACTTCAGTTTGAAGCCCCCTCCCCCAGATCCTTTTTCCCTGAGGGGCTTGGCCCAGGGAACTCTCCAGAGTCCAGGAGGCTTGGGGACCTGGGCCCAGCCTGTGGAATGTGGGGCTGGGAGGAGAAGGCTGCCTGTTCTTACACCCACGCAGAAAATTCTATTCACCTCTTGTCCCCAGGGGGTGGAGCTGGCAGCTCCAGTGTTCTCAGCCAGCACCCCAGGGCCGACGGGGCCTCTGAGGACCTCTGCTTGCAGACAGCCCTTCCAAAGTGCAGGCACCCCACCCCTACCCCCACCCCTGGTTTGGAGGCAGGATGAAGCCCTGCCCTGCACCAGAGCCCTTGCCTGAAGCCCGCCCCCGCCCCCAGCTCTGCCTGTCCTTGTGGGGGCTCTGGTGCCCCCAGGGGCACACTGTACTGAGTGGAAACTATTCCTCAGGGCAGCTCTCCTTGGCTTTTTTGTCCTCTGAATCATGCATTTTTCTGCCCATATTTGGTGGTGATTTGGTTGCTGGGCAGCCATCCAGGGAGTGTGCAGGGGGAAGCACGGGCTGAGCCTGGCTCTGCTGCCGGGAGCGCGGTCTTCCTGCCCCTCAGAGTTTGAAGGGGCCCCAGGGAGACCATTGGGGATGGATCCTGAGCTGCCTGGGAAGGGAGGTGAAGCTCTGCTTTTCCTTTCAGCCCCTGGGAGAAGAATTCGTTCTCAGATGTTTTTGTAGTTGGAGAATATTTTGGCCATTGCTTGGAGAAGACTTCCCCTCCTGATTCCCCCCCCCCCTTTCCTGGGAATTTCCTCCTCTAAAGCGCCCATCGCCCAGCGTTTACTCGCAACCCTCCCTTCTCCTTCCTCCAGCAAGAAAAGAAACAAACAAGGGTGCTTGCCAGAGCTCCTGCCGCCCAGGGGCTTCTCAGAGAGGTCTACTGGGAGCCCCTGCCAAGGAGGGGGGTGTTTAGGGGACACTTCTTCGTTGTCGTTAGAGACCCAAGCCAATCATTTAGCACATGGCTAGACAGAGTTTTGCAGAAACACTCTTGCTCAGTAGGACAGAGTGAGAATTGAGGACAAACCAGTGTGGAGATGTTCTGCACTCTCGCCCAGGGCAGGTTTGGGGCAGGCCCTGGCTGCAGAAGTGGGGCCTGTGTGCACGGTGGGAAGCGGGCGGGGGCCGGGGCTTGGTGGGCGGCCGAAGGCTGAGCTCAGCTAGGAGAATGAGGGGAGGAGCATCAGAGCATCTTTCTAGCCCAACTGTGAAATCCCAAAAGGATTTTGTGGAATGACGACTTTCTTTTTCCCTTTCCCCAGGGTCGAGTTCCAGAATAAATTCTACAGCGGAACCGGTTTCAAGTTCCTACCCTTCTCCTTTGAGCACATTCGGGAAGGGAAGTTTGACGAGTGAGCCCCATGGAGGGCTGTGTACCACAGGCCACCCCCCCCTCCTGCCCCCCATCCCTCCACAGCTGTTAGCTCTGCTCCTCTCGCCTGTCGGTTGTGATCCCTGGGTATCGGGGCATTTGTGTCATCCCAGCCACCCTCCCATCTGTGAGTCATTTAGATAGATCCAGCCCTCCCTGGGTCCCCCACCGCCACCAACTTCCTGTGTAGTATAGTGATTTTCTAGAGAGAAGCTGGGCTCTGGCTGTCACTCACACCTACTGGGCACCGGCCTCGCCCTCCCAGCCTCTGTCCAGCCAAAGACAGCCTCTCCTCTGTCCCCTGGTGGTGAGCAAGTTTGCATTTTACGTGTGAGCCCAAAGCCCATGGAAGAAGCACCTTTCACATCCACACTCAGACTTTGAGCCTCCTGTTCCTGCCACGCTAGTCACTGGTTGGGGATAGGGGTGCTCTTGAACATACCCCACTCTTGGGTTAGCAGGGGCGGGTCCAGGAAGAGGGCACTTCTGTTCTCTGCCTATCCCTCTGGCCTTCAGAGCAGTTGTTACTCGGGAATTTAGCTGGACCCAGCTGTGCCGTCGTGCATGGCTTCTCCCTGTCACTCCCAAGAGTCCCAGGATATACCCAACACTACCTCCCTAACCCGCACCCTCTCCTCCTCCTTCCCAGAATCCCCTCCTTCCCCCTGCTCCTGTTTGTACCCGGTGTAACAGCACAGCAGGGAGTGACCCAAACAGAGGTCCTGGCTGCCTGCTGTGGTTGGCTGCTGCTTCTCAGGCCATGTGCGGGCCCTGCCACAAGCATGCCCTCCGGGCACACGGTTCAGACAGAGGCTATTTCTGGGTGCAGACCCCACAACCTTTCCCCACCCCTAATCGTGAGTCTCGAGGGCAAGACTGTAGTCATCAGAGGTGGTTCTGCCTACGGACCTGCCTTGCTCTGCCCTCCACTGCCCCTCCCCACTTCCACTGGGGTCCCAAGTCAAGGGAGTGGGGTCCTGGGCAGAGAAGGTCGGTGCCATTTACAGTTCGCTGATTGGAGGCGACCGCCAGGGCCACAGTACACCTGGTTGTGAGAGCCCTGCCCTGTGGGCCGATGGTGAGCACCCCCAAGGGCCACCTCTCCTGTGCCCCCCATGCCAGGCTGTGGCTTTCAGGGCCTTGTAATCATGTGTTGGCACAGCAGCCCGGGCTGCTTCAGCCAAATCGAACCCCGTGGCCCTCAGTGGTCGAGATAATCCCCTGAATTGGCCAGGCCCCTGCCCTCCTCCTACCCTGGCTTTTCTGAGTTACTTAGAGCTGCTCACGACTCTCCTGGGCATGGGTCACCCACCCCCGCTTCACCATGTGCTGGCCAGTGTGACCTGCCCCGACTTTGTGCAGATTCCCTCCCCTCCGGGCTGGTGGTTTACATGATGCCCTTTGCTCTGTTTACAGCAGGGTTTGCCTCAGAGCTCTTTGTCCGGAACCCTGCCGGAGGCCCTTCTGTTCACACGTTCTCGTGCCGAATAAAGTGTGTTTGACTCTACCAGGGAGGCTGTCTGTCCCTGTGCCCCGTGTTGCACGCCCCTGCCCCTCCTCCAGCGTGTCTGCTTTCCTGTGATCAGAGGCCACAGCTGCAGTGGCCCGGCCGGGCCGTTTGTGAAATTGTCACCTCTCAGGTTTCCCAGGCGCGTTCCCCTCCCTCGATCCCAGCAGCTTTGCAGATCCTGCCTTCGGTGGGGAAGGGACTTGACGGGATCATCCTCACCCCCCCTTTCCCACACTACCCACCCAGACAGCGGGGGAAGGGGGAGCCTGGACATCTGCTCGCCCTCCTCTCCCTCTACTCCAAGTGTGCTTTCCAGGACTCAGTAGCCTGGCTATCTTGGGCCCTGATGCCCTTGGCCTTGGTGTGAGTGGAAGCTCAGCGTCGTGTTCCTCCAGGCAGCGGGCAAATGTGGGGTGCAGAGGCAGGCAGGCAGGCAGCTGAAGAGCCAGCAGGCGGGGTGGGCTGGGAGGGTGCTGGCTCCCTCCTAACTGCGGTGTAAGGCACCCACATTCTCGCTCGCCCTCCCTCTCCATGCCTCCTGGGGCCTCCAGGGCAGGGCTGCACGGGAACGTGGACAGCGGGCCAACAACTGCTACCCCAGGAGGGGTGAGCAGGGGCAGGAACACCCTTTTCGTGTTCCTTATCTCCCCCACCCCCATCTTCGAACCTTCTCTTCCCTGAAAGGCCACCTGCCCCAGAACAGGGTCTTGGGTGCATCACCCCCCGCTGGCTCCTTGCGCGAACAGTCCAGGATGAGTTTTTTAGCCTCTGCTCTGTTACTGACTCAAAAGGGAGGCTTACTAAGAATAGATATTTGGAATCAATGGCATAGAATTGAATTCAGAGTCCAGAAATCAGCCCTGTTTATGGCCGATCAATTTTCCACACAGGGGCCAAGACAATACAGTGTGGAAAGAACGGTCTGCAACAAGTGTTTGTACAACTGGGTATCCACGTGCAAAAGAACAACTTTGGCCTGGAGCCCTTGCACTATGTATGTAGGTTAACTCAAAGTGGGTCATAGACCTAAATGTAAGGGTTAAAACTAAAATTCCTAGGGGAGATTAAAGGAAAATGTCTTCATGACCATAAGTTAGGCGATGATTTTTAGTAGACCCCGAAAGCAAACAGATAAAAAGAAGATATGGGCTTTGGTCTGACAAGCTTTTGTGCTTTAAGGGACAGAACCCCGACAACCCTCACGCTGGGAGAAACTGTAAGTCCTATCTAATAAAGGATGTGTATCTAGAATTACAATTCAGTCAAAAAGACAAATACCTTCATTTAAAAGGTTTAAAAAAAAAATTAGGGGCCCCTGGCTGACTCAGTGGGAAGAGCATGCGACTCTTGATCTCGGAGTCATGAGTTCCAGCCCCACGTTGGGTGTAGAGATTACTTAAAAATAAAATCTTAGGGGCGCCTGGGTGGCTTAGTTAAGCATCCAACTCTTGATTTGGGTGATTTTGGCTCAGGTCATGATCTCGCAGATTCGAGAGTTTGCGCATCAGGCTCTGCGCTGACAGCGAGGAGCCTGCTTGGGATTCCCCCTCTCTCTCTGCGCCTCCCCCACTTGCGCTCTCTATCTCTCAACATAAATAAATTTAAAATAAAATCTTAAAAAATAAAAGGTAAAAAAATACTCCTTGATTTAAAAAATGAAAGGATTCGAAAAGGCATTTCTAGGAAGAAAAACACAAGTAAGCAATGAGCCCAGGGAATGACACTCGGCATCATTAGGGAACCACGGGTCAACCACAAGGGCATCTGCCACATCAAACCTGCCATGAAAGGCGGTAACAAGGAAGGGACAGTTACAAGTGCAAATGGTGCAGCTCCTTCAGAAAGCGGTCTGGCGGTTCCTCAAAATGTTAAACATAGAATTAACCTACGACCCAGCAACTCGGTTTCTACGTCTCCAGCCAAGAAAAATGGGAAAAAAAAGAATGTGCTCAAACTCGGGCACAAGTGTGCATCGTGGCACCGTTCATTCCTCCAAGATGGAAACAACCCAGATGTCCATCAGCTGGTGAATGGACGAACAGAAAGTGGTGCGTCCATACAAAAGGTGCTCTTCCACAGTGAAAGGAACGGAGAACTGACACGGGCTGCAGCACGGATGAACCTCAAGAGCGTTATGCTGAGAAGCCAGACACAAGACCACATATTGGGTGATTTCGTTTGTGTGAAATGTCCAGAATGGGAAAGTCTGTAGAGACCAGACAGGGGATGGGCTGGCCTAGGACTGGCTCTGGATGGGGCTGGGGCAGGATCAAAATGGGAGTGACAGCTAAGGGGTGCAGCTTTTCTTGTGGGGAATGATAACAATGTAAAACTAGACAATAGCGATGGTTGCACAACTGTGAAGTTGCTTTAAAAAAAAAAAACTCATTGAGTTGCACGCTTTAAATTGGTAAACTTTCTGGTATATATCAATAAAATGGGGCAGGGGGCGGGAGACCTAGGGCTTCCCCAGGGAGAAATTCGTCCCTTGCCCAGGCGGAAAAGACCTGAGCTGGCAGGTCATTGGCTGAGCGGAACTGCTGGGGTCTCCTGGTCTTGCGCCACCTCCACCCCAGCCAGCTAAAGGTGGACTGACCAGGACCTGGGCCAGGGAGGGTGTGGGAAATCCCAGGAGCCCTCAGGTACTGGTGGGAAGCAGGATGGATCCACTGCTTCTGTTTTTAAGGGACATGCCCTGTATGCTGCTCCCCCTCTTGTGGAATCCCTGGACCCCAGACCTCTGCTGCGTGAGCCTGTGCTTTGTTCAGGGAATTCTCCTCATCTTGAGGTCATGGAACAAGTGTGGGAGAGAGTGGCTATGGGCCAGCTTGGTGTTATAGCGCTAGGGGACAATGCCATCGCCGTTTTCAGGATCCTACTCCCCGTCCTGTCCTTCACTGGGACTGCGCCTCTTTCTGCCCCCAGGAACCCTGTGTGGAAGGGACATCGGAGCTCCACTCAGATTCTCAATGACCTGCCTGCTCTCCCAGCTCCCCAGGCATGTCCTGGGTGTGGGCTGTCCCCTGGTGGCGAGATAAGGAAGGACCCATTCCTCCTCACTCGGAAGGTAGGTGGGATCCTGCGGGCTGTGACAGCTAGGCAGAAAGGGATAAGTGACCCTGGAGGTATTCTGGGGTGCATAGGCAGAAGGTCAGGCTGGCTAAGAACAAAAGAGGAGACAGATGGAGAGTGGAGAGCCCAGCTCACTTGTTCCACGCACAGTAATTGAAAAATAAAATGTGTCATGGGAAAATGATCAGACAGTACAAAAGGCCCTGTTACAAAAGTCCTCCTCCCGCCCTGAGAGTCCCAGTGCCCCACCCACAGCAACCACTGTTTACATGACCTATTAAAATTTTATTTTGAGAGAAGGAGTACAAGTGCGGGGAGGGGCAGAGAGGGAGAATCCCAAGCAAGTTCCGCACTGTCAGTGCAGAGCCGATACAGGGCTCGAACCCACAAACTGTGAGATCA